AGAATATTTTTTCGATATTTTCAATATCAATGTATTGATTTAATTAGATACTTGTTAGATCACATTTAGATTAATAAATTGTTATGATAATAATATAAATAATACCTCCTCAGTATTTCAAATAATTAGCAAAATTATTAATCCAATGAAAGTTTTTGTAAAACCAAGAGTTTTTACCACTTCTTCAAATGAATTAACTAAAAATTCAGAAGATAAAGAAATAAGACCAATTTTTCATCATCTTTGATCAAAAATTGTTCCTCATTATACAAGTGTGAATGCATTTTTAATTGAAATAATAAATAAAGCATGCAGTTTCACAAGATAATACTAAAGTTTTTTTATTGTCATTGCTTAAAGAAATGTTAAATGTAGCAGGAATTATTAAGCTTATACAAGCCAAGGTCATTAAGCTCAAACTAGTCTGAGCAGTAGTTTGATTAAATTTTTGTGTCTTATACTTAATGCCTTCAGTAAAAAAACATGTCCTCTAACACTAATAAAATGTTTGAAATAATCAATCTTAATATCAAAGATTGAACTATCAGCATGCAGAACAAAAACAGAAATGATTAATTCTGTTGCATTGTCAAAAGTAGCATTTAATAACCCTATAATAGCTGGATCAGCTTTTAAAAAAATATCCTCAGTGATAAAACTTAACAAATTCACTAAGAGAATAATTGCTAAGCAATTGAAAAAGAAAATGCATCCTAAAGACTAATTAAAAATATAAGCAAAAATTGCCAATAGGATAAATATTAATAATAAATTAAGCAAATATGATCTAAGAATTAATATTAAAAAAGCAAAAAATCAACAAACTCTTTTTGATGATCACCTGGACCAAGTTGATACTGAAAGTAGTTTGAAGATTCTGATTTCAAAGTGGATAATATTCTTAGTTTTATACTAAATAAACTTGCTGTTAATAAAGCTCAAGTATGTAAAACATTGAAGAACAGATGAAACTTAAGTGGTTTTTGTCTTGGATTAAGTTTTTTGTCTAATGGATTTTTTCATATATTTGATATCTAAACTGGAAGGATATTTTAGAAACAAATAAAGACAAAATCAGTTTTCTGTTTAAGAATATTAGAAGCAGAAAAAAAAAATAACTAGAAAAACTCTCTTTAACTTGGATCTTTGTAACAATAATATACATCCTTTTTATCCTTTTTTTGTTTTCTATTTTTTAAAAAGTGAAGATTTGATTCACTTTTATCAAAAAATCAACATTATGCATCACTTTTTTTTGTAATTACATACTTGTTTAGATATGGTAAATAAGGAACACAACAAACATATATATCAACCAATCATATAAAACAAATCAGAAAAGAATTTAAATTAAAAAAACATAAATTATATTAAGATATATATATATTCTAAAGTCATGTGTATAAAATTCTTAAAACAATGATTATAGAGATTTATAAAGAATTGGACTGATTAAGTACACTCCAAATCTTGTTACAATACCCTACTTATTTGAAGAATTCTCCTATATAGAAAGTATTTAGCTTGAACTTTGTTCTATAAATGAATATAGTTTTCATTCTAATTAAAAGTATCTATTTTCTAAAGAATAGTTATAATTTATAAAATGATGAAAATATTGTAGTGAACAGTAATTGTAGAATAGAGTTTTATCCTATTAGAAAGTTTTCTCTTTTATTCTCCTTATAGATTAGTTTTTTTTCTTTTTATTAGTTTTATTTTCTCTTTATTTTTGTTTCTTTCTTCTCTAATTTTAAAATCATTTTCTTTTTTTTGTTTTTTTTTTTTATAAAAAGATGTCTCCAGATTGGCAGTATCCTATTGTAAGACAAAGGTCAGACAAGTCATAAGTTCTAGTTCTAACTAGATTAATATGACAAATTACATTTAGGTACTGTTTGGGTGACCAGATGATAATAGACTTATAAGCTAAATGATATTTTGTATTTACCTATGTAACTACAAATAGTTTAATAAAATACTACTATAACTGTTTAAAAGAAAAAAAAATCTGTAAAATATAATAAAGAACATTTTAACAATAAAACTATCTTTGCATATTAATAAAAAATCTTACTTGCAAATTTTGACATAACTATAATTCTCTAAATCTAACATAGTTGCAATATCCTAATCTAACCTAAAACTAAATTTTTTTTAGTCTTATAATAAGATTATATAATATGTAAAATTTTTTAGTATAATTAATTTATTTAAAAAATTTTATCATAAATTATTTATATTTATTTGTTTTTTTTTAAAAACATACTAATTAAATAATCATTTATTGTGGTTTTATTATAAAAATATACAATAGTTAATATTTATAACTATTAGTTATATAATTAAATAGTAAGAAATTTTATTTAAAAAAATATATATATGTAATATTTGCTTAAATAAAAATTTTTGTCATACAAAATATGCTGTAATATTTTATACAAAATATTAAACTAAAAAATTTTTTTATATAAATATGTATTTTTAAAATAAACAAATGTCTTAAAACTAAGAATGATGATCTTAGTATAGTGATTAGATTATTATTCTCTAAACAGTAAATCTAGAATTCAAATTCTATTAGTAGCAGAATTTTAAAAAATAGTTATATTTTAACAACTTTGACAAGGTATCTGAAGTCATATTCCTGTGATTCTAATTATACTAAAACTAATTTTAGAAGTGTGCAATGTTATATAAATAAATCTGAAAAATATATACTCTATAAGAAACCCTGTTTGAAAATTCCAAATAGAAAGGTAGTATAATCTTTGACAATACTACTTATAAAAATCTTAATCTAGAGAAGAAAATCTGAAGCAGATAACTTGTACAAGCAAAAACTTCTAAATAAAAGAAGTTTGCCAATCTGTTACTAGTTAATTTAGGTATGAATAGTATAAAAATTCTAATGTTCTTATGTTTTTATAAAAACATATTTTTAAATTTGAGAATATTTGTTACTTTGAACATGTTTTCTATAAAAAAATTTTTAAGAACTTATTACTTAATAAATATGTTCTTTATATAGTATAGTACAAATAAAGTTAACAATTATAAAATAAATAAATCTTAAGAAATTTTAGAAAGAAAATGAATAAACATAAAAGATGAGCAAGTTTGAAACAAAAATTTGAATAAATTACTAATATTATTTGAAAATTATCTAAAAATGACAACAGAGATTTTTGCTTTAAGAACATAAAAATATTTTTGATAATATTAAATTAAATAATTGTGTTCTTATAAGAATATAAATTTCAAAACAGATTTTCAATACTGGGTATGAAATTATATTATGCAAAGCTTATTGAATTGGTAGTATAGAAGAACTTGCAAGAATAGATGAGATATTGGTAAGATTATAAAAATGTATACTGGTATTGTATAAACTCTACAAGACTATAGCAGTTTAATAATAAGTCCTGATTGCAAGTATTAGTTCAAACATAGCAAGTTCAGACCAGCTACAAATAGAAATACAAAAGACTTTTGAAGGTTTATTTTAAAAATAAATTAGTCTTAAGATTGAAACAAGGATCTAGGATAATTCAATAAAAATGACATGAGTTATAGGTTTAAAAGGTTTAAATAAAACATTCAAATAGATGAATTAAATACAGTAACTAATAGAAAACTTTTAGCAAACTTCTTAAATAGGTAATATAGCAAAATTACATATATAGTCAGTTGTACACTTTTTCTGTAGTAATTCTTATAGAACTATATTATTCAAAAAATGTCAATAAAGTTAAAAGACCAAAAGAATTATTTTAATACTAAAAATAAAAGACTTAGAACTGAATTTATACTAAGTAACTCTTCTTTTAAGCTTAATAAAAGATATTTTAATAAGCAATTTTTATTAAATTCAAAAGAAGAGTTACTTAATACTAAATCTAATTTCAATATTTTTTTGTCTTATACTTAATTTTTTATTTATTTATTTTTTTTTTTTAAAGAGAGGTCTATCCTCTATCTCTTTTATTTATAATCAAATTTACATATATAAGATAAATACATATGAAAAAACTATATTATGGAAGATGGGGGTAAGAGCTACTTTACTCTTGACCTATTCTTTGCTAGAATAGTCGGAAAACCTCTAGTTTTCAAGAAGATGCATTAAAGAAGTTAGTCCATTGTTTGTGTATTTTGATGGTTTTCTTTCTATAAAAGATGGGGCCAAAGGCTTAGTTTTGTTTAATATTGGAGTCTGTATTGGAGCTGGGTTTGGAAGAATTGAATCATGACTTGTCTTTCTAGAAACTAGCCAAATTGTTTTGTATTTTTTTGTAATAATGTTATGATGTATTAGTGGAGTGTATTTGTGCCTATGGCTGTTTGTATCAAATGATGCTAAAGTGTCTCTAGTGATAAGTCCTAGTGGTATCCACTTAGTTATATGTGCAGTAATGAATGCTTTAACAAAAGCATCCAAGTGCAGACATGGTATTTCCAACTTTCATGAAGTTTTATATACTGTTTGTCTAACAAAGGTTGAAAACCATATGTGATTTTGAATGCAAGTTAATAGATGAACAATATCCTCAGAAGCATTGCGACATCTTGGACATAAGTGGTTTGGATATTTTTTCTTATTTCTCCAATGCAGTAATAAGTAAGTTGGAAGTTCTTCCAATAGTAGTTTAATCTTGAAATTCTTGATTGCTGAGGATGATGGGTCAGTGTTTAAAGCTAGTAGTTTTTCTTCAAAAGAAATATATTTTAGTGTAGAAGTTAAATCAATATTTTTTGTGATGTATGCCAGCCTGAAATCCGTTGTTGACAAAACCATGACAGTCAGTTTGTAATTTGATGAATATGTTTTAGAGTGGTTTTTAGCAAATATCCACATGGTTTGTTAAGAAGTCTTGAAACAAAACAGTTGTATAGAAAATGTTGTGGCACTAGGTCTAATGGGAAAATTATGCCTGTAGTTTCTTTGATTTTTATATTTTTATCCAGTATGATGTTGAGTTTCTGATTACATGAGAGTGCTTTTAGAATTAGAAGAAGGTATGTGTGTTGCTGCTTGTTGAGTGCAGAATATTTATGAGGCTTAATGGAAATTACCAAATTGATGTATGTAGTGAAGGTAGGATTGTCTGTACAGATGTTTACTTCTGTATATGAATTGACTGTAGTAAAAATAAAGTTTAGCATATTAAGCATTGTGCTTATATATGAAGGTTATTGGTTAGTAAAGCAACCAAAACAGGTGTTGGTATTTTGTATATGGCATTT